AGGAATGACCTCCAGCTAGAACTTCTCTTTACAGCATAAGAGACCACAAGAACAAACATTAGAGATTGTTCCTCTGAACAAGCAAAAGGAAACCCATCTTCAGCAAAACAGTGTTAGCAAACTACAAACAGGTATCCAGCTTCCTATCAGTATCAGAAAGTTTAAGAAATAAAAATAAAAAAAAGAGAGAAGTCCCACTTCCCTCCAGCTCAGGAGGACAGAAACAAGGCTCCAGCTGTTATCATATGGTACCTTGCAATTCATCCAAGTTTAGCTAGCAGAAACACAAACATCTCACCAGAATAGTACCAGGAGTTTATTATGCAGCACAAGGTCATAACTAACCTACCTGGTTAACAGGTTCTCCAGGCATGTTACTGCTCTGTCGCATCATCTATCAGCACTTTCTTGTACTGGCCGTGGCCTGTTGCAACAAACTTATACTTTTTCCCAGGAGTGGACTGAACAGGACAGAAAGAAATAGCCAGAGTCAGCATTTTCCCTCCTCAGATGGGCAGTCAAGATCAAACACCCAAAGCTAGAGGAGCACGTGAGAATCTCTAACTTTCTATTATTTAGGGCAGTTATTAGCCAGCACTGCCACTTATAATCCCAGAGGACTTTGAGACAGCCACTGCCTATGGTGCACTCCCCTTCTGCCCCTTCCACAAACTCCTTGCATAGACAGAAAGACAGACCATTTGCTTCTGGAAACGTAAGGCAATACAGCAGGTGTAGCACACGTAATAAGGAAGGGAAGATGCAATGCAGGGTGTTGTGGGGAGAGGGCTCATCGAAGACCCCTCCAAGCAGGGCTCTGCAGGGTTGCTTTCACCCATGCAAGTACCAGTTTAATGTACTGCGTACTGGCAGCAGTACTATCAAAGAGCATCTGCAGACAATATACTTTGATCTCCCTCTCAGCCTGGAGAATTAGAGCAGCAGCTGCTTCTTGCATTTTCATATGCATTCCCACAAACACATCACTGGCCACAAAACCCCAAATCCATCTGCAAACGCTGATACTGTCTTAGGTTGAGTTCCACTTAATTTTGGCTGTTTCTTTGTAATCTCAAGATTAAGAGGTGTAACAAGAGCAAAGTCAATCATACCTGCAGTTCAATGTTAGCCTGGAAAAACAGGGTTCCCAACCCACTACCTGGGAACAATATGCTATTCAAGAGACCTTCCAATATTACTAGCTATAACATGATTTTTGCCATTATCTATATTAAGACTATAGCAGCTAAGTATTAGGAAAAGCTCTCATAGTCTAGGTATGCAAATGCTTTGATGGATACAGGCAACCTCTGTCCATATAGACCCTTTCTTTTTCACAAAAGAGGAAGTACTTTAGTACTTGCTCAAGTACTAACTTACCTTGATATTGGTCTCAGGTTTGGGATTGCCCTTCTGTTCCCAAAGGCTTCTTTTACTCATGATGTCTCCAGCCACAATATCCTGAGAAGAGGTTATTCTCATTACCCTTCGCTGGCAATACTGCTGAACATGCTTTTGTTCACATCCCTTTCAAACCCACATATCTGGCCTCTTAATATATTAATGTTACATTGTCTGACTTATGGCTAAAACCCAAGACTATGAAAACTTCTTCCTACTCCCAATATATCTTAGGTTTTCCCCTCTCTCACTCTCTTCCACAGAGGACTAGATCAGAGATCCAAGATGTTTATTTTCTTAAATTTGTTAACTATTTAAGACATGTTAACATCAAGGCACTGTTACGTGAAAGGAATTTTTCTCAGATAAACAAGATTTGCAGACCATGTGTTACAGAATCACCCTAACTTTCAGGGGCCAGAAAATGAAATTACTAAGCAAGCAATACACAGTATTCTTTGCATTTTCCAGGTTTACAAGATTTATCATCGCAATGCCAGACCCAGCTTAGCACTCAACAACTGGAGTTCAGTCAAGTCCCCGCAATAAAAGTCACACCGTTTCCCCACCAGCTGAATCCATTCCTGTTTCAAAACAGAGGCTCAACCAGCTTCAGAGATTTTCCTAGCTCTACCACCGAGGAACAATGCAGAACTCTAGCAGAGATGAATCTAAGCTCCGAGGTACAAGGTTTTAGATGCTGATAAATGGGACCGAGTCCCTAATATCAAGGCTTTTAGAGCCCTGGCTCCATGCTGTGTGCAGCTGGTTAGCACAACCAACAAGCCATATAAACAGGCTTACGTTACACTCATACAGAGGAAAGCATAACACACATTGCATGTGAAGGTCAACTCCTTTTCTCCTGCACAGACAGGGCAGGTCATGCACATGCCTTACCTTACAGGTTGGTGACTTCATGGAGGACTGAGCTGCAACCTCTCCAGTCTCCCAGAGGCTTTTAGTACTGGCTACCACCATGCTTGTGGTGGGAATGTCAAGGGACGGTTGTCGGACGGGTTTTGGAGCCTTTGTGGATGTCTGAAAAAAATAAATGGAGAATAAACACCATCAGCAAAATTCTCAGCTCCAAGCATGTATTTTCTCTGTAATTGAAAGTCCTCAGGGATGACGGGATGTGAACAGAGACTTGAAGGGCCTTGCTATTCCCTGCCAGATGTTTTCACTCAGTCAGGGAACATGAGGAAACAAGGATGTGGTGGTTCACTGAAAAAATCTAGAAATCATGGAAGTTTCTAGAGATAGGTGACAGGGCTGCTCCTATCCAAGGAGAGGCAACTTGATTGTCACCTCACAGACGGCAGGGATAAGCAGCAGGCCAGGAGAACGATGCCTTGCAAAGAGGGCTCTTTGGAGGGTGGGGACAGAGAGCTGGGCCAGTGCTATACAGCCACTCACCTCAATGGCCTGCGTGTATTGCTCCAGTCTATCATCTATCTTCGACACGGGAAGGGGAGGCTGGGTCTTCTTTATGCTATTACTGGAAAGAACAGAGAGGAATAAGGTGATCCCCTTGTGGGAAGTATCCTGGAGCCTCAGGCAGGATTTTTGAGGGCCACAGGCAGTCTGTCACTGCTGCCTGCTCTCACAGGGATGCCTGAGGGCATCCCCGACTTGAAACAAGGGGTCTGCTTTACCCTAACTCCCCAGCAACCCTAGAGATACCTTTTCTTTATTGAGC